GAGACCAAAATTAAGTTGAGGGACTGAACAATGCTCTGAATGTGATACATTCGGAACATTACGTAACATTAATTATACAACTTACACTACTGTGTAGATCGGTGCCGTAGACTTTTTTTTTTGCTTTTGATGTTTTTTCAATAAAATAAAATGTTACCTTTCGCCATTGCACACTCCCATAACACATGTATATTATTTTACTAGTAGCTTTTCAGTGAGTGGCTTTCGTGGTATGTGGATTTCGTATCGGGTGGCTTCCGTGGGGAGTAATGCTTTGTCGCAGTAACTGGTCCTTTCGTCGTTGTTGAGAATTAAAGTTTTTATTTTTCTTTAACAACTGGCGCTATAATTTGCCCTTATGATTTGTGTAGGAGTTCCAAAATATAACTCATGCTCTTACAATAAACCTAATAGTATCCCCAACGTCTGTTTGTATGGTAAATCTTTGAAATATGTTTCAGTTATTAAATATCTTGGTTACGTTGTGTCATCTGCTACTTCATCTGCATATAAAAGTAAACTGACTGATGGACTGACTGATTCAGTAAGGGGACCATTAAAACGAACGCAAGACTTTAGTTGGGTGTACATTGAGCGAAGAACTCACAAAATACTACCATGTATGCCTTTTGTAATCAATCTGTGCCACAATTTATTATGATTTATCCTATCGAAAGTTTTCGAGAAGTCGATAAATACTATATACATGCGTCCCCTCTTCTTTGAAAAATATTTTTTGTACAATGGCCTGTAAAGTAAAAATATTGTCAAATGCAGAATATTGCTTCCGAAAACCCACTTGAGCTTCAATAATAATAGCATTCCCAGTGGCCCAATCATAAAGACGCTTGTTCAAAATGCTGGTAAAAATTTTGCTTACAATAGGTAAAAGTGAAATGCCTCTGTAATTATTAACATCGAAACGAGAACCTTTTTTATAAATAGGTTGGATAATACCAAGGAGTGAGCATACATATGATAAAGGACTGTGGAGTGAGAGACTATTTACCTCGGCGATAGCTACGGCAATTGCGACCCGTCGATATTGGCAAGATTCCGGGGAACGCGGTGACCAGTGAGGAGCAAAACGACACAAACCGTGGTTATTTACGAAGGAAATGGATTCATTTTTATTACAGACTTTCGGGGAACAATTATTCGTGATGTAATTCACTCTGGCATGGAAAAAGTCAAGGATAATCAGAGGCGGCGGCACAAAATTTTGCATGAAGGGAGATCTGCTCACCAACCTAGTGCGCCAAAGGCGTCACCTTTCTAGAGCGTCCGGGCATGTCCCCCTTAAAAATGTTCAAATCTAGACTCTCTGAAACGCTATTTCCCAAATAATTTTTCGAGGGGACGACCGCCATCTCTGCCCCGGGCCGCCGCTACTGGTAATTCAATGGCGACAAAGGTAAAAAACATTGTTATGCTACTTACTGTTTTCGCCGTGAAACGACGACGACGTTTTTGAACTTCCTCGCCGATAGCTACGTAAATCGGGACTAATATAAAGTTATCGGAAAGATACCATGGACGGCAGTGACGACCACCAAAACGTAATTGAAGGCAAATAAACACGTGAAGCATAAAACATGTACAAATCGTATCATAAAGTACGGAACTGAACCATTGTTTACCCTGGAGGGGGGACGGAAATTACTCGCTTTTGAGGGGGTCATAATAAGCGAGGATGAAAACTGTGTTTATGCTATGAAAACGTGAAGACCTTGGACGTACTTTTATGTACTTTAGTAACTAAAAAGGCATTTTTTGTTCGATTGCCTAACGTTTTTATGTGCATGTGCTGCAAGATAGATAGACTGGCAAAGTCGGGACTTCATCTTCGCGGTCACGCTAGTTTTCGCGATCACGCTAAAAAGGCTAATTAATTATATATTTTTTGTAAAACAAAAAAAAAAGTCCCGACTTTGCCAGTCTAAAAGTTAGAGTACACATAACTAAGCGGCCGTCTCTCGGCAAATTATTTAGCCCAGGCATTTTCCGTGTCAAACGATCTGTTTTTACTCAATCTGGGAAGTCCGAACCACAGTCACTCTCCTAGTAGAGTGACTGTGTTCGAACTAAATGAAGTACAGAACGACGAAGCTGAAATATCCAAGAACCAGCACATACCACAAATTATATCGCAAAAATGAATATTTGTGGTATATTTTAAGTCTAACCGGACCGGAAGTGGGAATTTGTTACTACTCTAAATATCCAAACATATTTTAATATAAGGTAGTAATAATAATAATAAAAACACCAACAAATAAACAAGAGACTGTATGCAGGTATATCGGTGCCTACTACAAACATGTATACTTTTCAGTTTATTTTATTTTATTGCTAAGGGCTAAAACCATAGATTTTCAATCAAATTATAGTAGCTAAACCCCTAAACATCCGACAACAAGCCTCCGACCCGTCTCTCCCAGAGAGACAATTTCCTTCACGTCGTTAGCTTGGTTCATGCCTAAATGTGTCAGCGGCGGGGGTTGTATCCATTGCATAATGGTTATCATGCAAATGAACGTGCATATAGTATAGTGCAGTCCTTTCATGAAAGACTGTGGTATAACAATGTAAATGACACAGATGTATGGTCGCATTGTAATTTTAGAAGACAGTGATGATATCACCTTGGTGACTGTATCTAATTTAATGCAGTGATTAGCCAATTTGTTTCCGACAAGTCACGGTGACAATAACACATTTTCTATTCTATTCTATTCTATTCTATTCTATTCTATTCTATTCTATTCTATTCTATTCTATTCTATTCTATTCTATTCTATTCTATTCTATTCTATTGTTTTGATGGATGATTATCTACACTAATTTTGTTTGATCACGCAATGTCTCACCATTTCAATGGTTGATATGATAACCATGGGCGTATTTCGACCATGATATAACCTTATATCCCAGAGGACAATGGTCAATTGTATAATTGTGTTCCGAAAATATATAAGTCTGGCTGTTGTTATTCAATATATGAGGTGTAGCAACTGATTGCTTTGTGTAAAGACTTTATAGAAGTGTAATGCTTTGTGTTCCTTTGTATTCCAGGTGTATTGTACTGATTGTATCAGGTCTCTTCCAATACATAATGGGGGTGTTGTTCTGAATCAATTTGTTTGTATTATTTTTTGTATTGATAATGGATTGTAATATAATAATCTCCAAGAGTATAAAAATTAAAAAAAATTCTATTGATCATCTTTAATTTGTTAGTATGTTATACTCGATTATACTACTCATGTACACGCAATGAGGCGCAAATTTGCCAGTATTTGCCAGGTGTCTTCATTATGAGAAATACTGTTGATTGGTTTGTTTTTTGTATGATTTTTGCAATAAAATAAAATATTATGTGAGTGTATAAATGGCGAAATACGCCTTACCACAAAGGCTGGATCACCGCGAAAGCCGGCTTTCGCCATATAATATTTTATACTGTTGAAAAAAATATAATTATGTAAACAAGCAAATATTCTCTAGTGTATTCGGTTTACTCAACGATGTAAATAAATAAATAAATAAATAAATAAATAAATAAATAAATAAATAAACAAACAAAAAAACAAAAAAACAAACAAATAAACAAATAAATAAATAAATAAATAAATAAATAAATAAATAAATAAATAAATAAATAAATAAATAAATAAATAAATAAATAAATAAATACTAGTATTATAGGCTGTGCCCTCATCAGTGTTTGTTTGAAACATTGCATCCGTGTTTGAGTCACAGCCGCAGTATGGCGTCGAAACACATGAATGAAACCGTCGCATAGTGCCCACTTCAGAAACGTCGAGATGCAACGACTGTGACGTTCTAAATATAAATATACGTGAGACTGATACTATTATCAACTGGAGTGTACCGGCTTAAGCCATGAACACACCGATACTTGAGATATGCTGTGCTGCATTCGCCACGGACCACGGTGATGTGGGAACCCCGGAGATCTCTCGATTCACCAATCACCACTCAATTGGCTAACGCACAGTCACTCTATAGAGGGACCGTGGCTATCGTCACCTTTGTTCTAGGACGGACTCATTAGCACACCATTGTCTCTGCTTTACACGACGGGTGTTGTTCGCATGACACCGATAGTCATACGTCATGTCCATGCGTCATTTCCATGGTAATATTTGTATCTTTATACAGATGTTCTTTTAGCATTTCCCCAATTTACATATTTGGACATACGACAAAGATCGAAAATAGATAAAAGTTGCTAGGATCGATATAATTACCGAGGAATACGACTAATAATTCCACTTTGTACAAATTATTATGATTGAAGTCAATATGTCCCGTTCATCCAGACTACAGAGAAGTAAATCAGAATGCGATACAGTATCACGCAATAGAAGGGTTTGACAAAAATGTGCATTGACATAATTGAGCGACATTCCACAAAATATTATTAATCAAAAATGGATTGTTATTACTGTGATCGAAAAAGCAACCAAACCAGCAGTAATGTAG